TGTTATCACTCCAGGTAAGGTTACACTGCCAAAACCAGCTGTCAGCACTGGGAAAACCTGCCCCAGATTAAACACTGGGAAGGATGTGGGCCTACATTAAGTCCTCTTCTCCCAAAGGCATTTTAATCTTTCATTATTACTCTTCACTTTTATACCCTACACAAGAAGCTGTCTCACACCAACCATGCAACAAAAACCTGTTCAGTTTTTTAATACTGCATTAAAAAGAGCTATCTTTATTAGCCTAGTTTCATACTGTTAATAGTTAAAAATACAAGCTGGACCTTTTTGCTTATACAACTATATCATGGCATTCACCAGCTTCAACATTTCTCTCCTCATACCCATGGCCAACTACATTTAACAGCAGTAAAACAGACATTGGCAGAAGTTCTTCTATTCTGAGGCACATTTTTGCATAATAGGAAGCACCCCGAAGGCACATCAGTTGTGAGAGATCATCCCCACTCCACTGATCACCCCTCGCTCCTGTCATGGCTCAGGGAGTGGGACGGTTGCTGGTGCTCCGTGCACCACAGGAGGACACAGTGTGCTCAGGGATGACTAAGACTGAGTAGCACCACACTGCCTGAGGACTAAAGAGATAAAGCTCTGTTAAAAAACACTGCAAAAGCCACTTTTCCCAGACAGTGACAGCTTTAAACTGACATAGGGTAGATTTAGTTGAGACACTAGGAAGGAGTTCTTTCCTGTGAGGGTGCTGAGGTGCTGGCACAGGGTGCCCAGAGAAGCTGTGGCCAAGTTGGACACAGGGGCTTGGAGCAACCTGCTCTAGTGGAAGGTGTCCCTGACTGTGGCAGTGGGTTGGAAGTGGATGAGCTTTAAGGTCCCTTCCAAACCAAACCACACTGGGATTCTATTAAAACTAACAAAGTAGCTGGAACACTCACCAACACCAGGACTGAAGCAGGAGAGGTTGCCCTGTGTTCACCTAACCAGAGGAAGGAACCAGAGCAGTTGAAACCACCCTTCCTTGCACAGCACCACGGCCAAGGCAGCAGGACCAAGATCCCATCAGGCAGCCAGGAGTTTCTCAGCAGTAAGGAGATGGAAGATGCTTGAGAGGAGCTACTTAGCTCAGCAACATTTCACAAGCACTAAAAAGCCTCAGATCACTGAGCTCCAGCTCAGCCACAAGCAGAGCACGCCACTGCCCAAGCCAAGGCCAGCACGTAGCCCTCCCACAACAAGCCCTTTTGCACTGAGCTGTTTACCAGCCCCAGCTGCCCCAACACAAACAGCTACACCACTTTATGAGGTGGCAGATGCCTTCTTTCCTTCCATCCACATTCGAGGAGCATTTTTGTCATTTCCCCCCCCAAAAAAACAGAACACTCGTTATTGGCTAAAGACACAGCACAGCATCTTTCAACTTGAGAAGAGCTGAGCAATTCAAAGCAGCTCCTTACAGACCAAGACAATTCTGGCAGCCTTTGCTATGGCTGTGGAATGCCAGGATCCCCTCCCACTACAGAGCCTGCCCCTAACACTGCATGAGCCTGGTAAAACCTTCCCCTGCCATCGCTGGGTCTAGGCTTAACAGAACATGCACTGAGACCACCAACCTAACCAGAGAAGTCTTAGTAGTGATGAGCCAGTCCCTGCACACTCCTTCCACACATAAAGGCTCAGAGGAAGCTCCCACGTTACCTTTTTAATGATGGGTTTAGTTTGGGTTTTCACAAGAGAAGAGAGAGCACAGACCAACTCTCCTGCTAGGAATTACACCATAACATGCAAAAGTAGCAGGGTGATTGGCAGCACAAGAGCTTAAAACAGAACAACAGGGTTTAGAAGCTTTTGCAAAACTAACTCTTCTGTTTTCTCTTCATAAAATGTCACTTGTTTAGAAGAAAGGTCCATCCAGCTCAAGAAAAGGACAGCTCAAAACAGGCCAAATAGTACCCTGAAGGTCTGAAACTCTTCAAAACAGACATCACTATTTACACAACAACAACATGGGAACTCTGCCTCTTGCACTCACTATTTTCAAGTTTACTGCACACCCAGGGCTGGGTAAATAAACCCAGCTCTTCAACCCAAAAACAACCTAAAGGTTCCAGCATCAGAAGCTGGGAACACCATGTCTTAATGTTACCCTGTCACCCACGTCAGACATTTACCTGGACCCATCACAAGGATGCAGCCTGATGTACACAGGGAAGGATAACTCTGTGCTGGGTATTAGCCCCAGGGGAAGCTCTGGAAAGGGTTTTCCTGTCATTCCTAAGGGTAGTCCTTTTTGATGCATACCAATAGCTATATAGTCTAAGCTTTTTTAAACAAGGCTTGAAGAAAGCCACCTAATCACATAACAGGCTGCAGAAGTGTAAAGATAACTTGAGTATCTTAAAAACTCAGCATAAAAGCTTACCTAGTCAATAAATTGGTCGTATATTAAAGGATAAAGGGGGGAGAAGGTTCACCTGCATTTAGCAAGTAGGGTCAGAGGAGCCAAGACATAAGTTTACAATACACCAAGCAGTTAAAGAGAGCTTCTTGCTACCTGGAGTATCAGAAACCAATTTCAGTTCCATTTAATTTGACAGCACCTTCATCTTCTACAAAAGTGGTGCTTTTCCTCAGGAATGGAGCCTCAAGAGCAAGGATACCAACATCCCCCTCAACTCCTCCTTGCAGGCTATTGCTCTAGAAGCTCAGACCACTGAAATTCATATGATTGAGCCTAATGACAGTGTGAAAGCAGTGACCACAAAAGGCAGGCAAAAAGAGGGCTAAAGTACACAAGTCCAGGGATGACTTTCAGAAGCTGTGAGCACCCACATGAGCAGGCAGCAGGTCACACATGCCTCGGCTGCACTGATGCATCTTCATTTCTTGTACAAGTTCTCAAAAGCCAGAAGCAGAGCTGGAACCCAGTGGCACCACCAGACTGTGTTAACTCTGAAGCTTGCAGGGAAACACGGACCTGTTGAGAAGGTTTTAAGATGTCCAGCTGTCTGTGCTCTTACAACTTAAGGGATGTGTTTTAGTACTACATTTTCATTTAACCAGGAGGAACTGTCACATCAGGATTTGCAGTCAACTTCATGCTGCACTTAACATCAGCCTCTCATGGGTTTTCCTGTAAAGTCAGAAAAGCCCAGTTGCACACTCATCAGGGAAATCCCAACCAGTTTCAGATGGGCTTCATTTCTGTTTACTATTGTTCTTTTAGTAGCTCTGCCATTTCCATTTCAGATACTCCACGACTTCCAGGGCATTTCTATTCTACAGTGAAAACACCACAAACTTCCCCCAGAACTGGCCACAACTCTGAGGCAACCAACCACCCCCAGAGCATGGCCTATAATGTATGTAGAGCATCAGTGGAAGGTCATGAATAGCCAAGTTCAAAGTATGCAAATCTAACGATTAAAATTTCTGCTTACAACACGTTACCAAACGACAAACATGTTTTATCTTGCATCGCAGTAGGTTTTATTCCTTGCCAAGACTTAAAAAACCCTTTCCTCATTGTTACTGAAGTATACACATGAACAGCTTAAACGCAGAACCACTTCTAGTTAGCAATACACTGATTCAGGTCTTACGTGCATCCACAAAACCTGTGTCTCAGGTACACATTTGCCTATTCTGCCTTCCCCATCATCCTACCCTAACCAGAAGGAACAGTTTACAAAGCAGGTTTTCCACATATAGCTAGCCAAAACCAAAGGCTTTCTATCCAGAGCTCGGTTTGCATAAGATCCTGAAAGAGAGAGAAGCTTTAAGTGCTTTCCTGAGTTATTCCTATTAGCAACACAAGGAACTTGAGCCAGGTTTTCAACACCTTTCAGAAGAAAAAAAAAAGGCAAGAAAAACCAAGGGCCTCTGGGACACCGAGCCTGAACACTGTGAATGAAGGCAGTGAGCATCTCCTTTCCAAGAAGGAAAAGCACAGATGAACACAAGACAAAGGCAATCCCAGATGGCCAGACCAAAGTGGTCCTCATTAACCAGTTGTCATCTAACACGGCCTCCTGGTTAAGGCCATGTCTTCCCCATGGTGTTGTCCAGGCACAGGGGTTACCCACGCAACCAGGGCACCAGGAATTCTGTCCACCGGCAATCCTCCATTGAGCACAGGTTTCACAACGCCGCTGCTTGTTCCCAGCTACCTGGGCGGAGAGGGTCTCCCACTGCTGCCACCAGCTGCGAGTTCTACCCGCACAGGGAAACCCGCAGCTCTAAGTCCAGCTCGCTAAAACCAAACCTCTAAACCGCAGCTAGGTGACGTGCTGCTGCAGCATGCACACCGCGATGAGATCTCGAAGGAGAAAGACAAACATATGTCAACACCAACCCTCGAGGCAGCACCGGCTCCCTCCCTAACCAAAACCAACGGCATCACCGGCGCTGGGACGGCCTTTGAGCGAGTCAAAGACCTCGAACTGAGGGAAGAGCAAGCCTAGAAGCGCCTCCCAGCTCCTTCTCGTGTGGGAACTGACTTTTCGCAGCGCATACAGCTTAGGCTGAGCCTTTAACAGCGCCCGCACCCCCGCTGCGGCTCAGCGCTACCACAGAGCTCGACGGAAGAACCCGGCCCTACAGCTGACCCCGCAGCCGGGACAGGGCCGGGCCCCGCCATGGCCGATGCACCCCGCATAGGACCGCTTCCTGCCGCCGCTCCCAAGCGATGAGGGTCCGGCCCCCGCCCGCCGCGCCAGGAAGCGGGGGAGGGGAGGGGAGGCGCGGCCGCCGCCCCCCGGGAGAGCCGAGCCCGAGCCCCAGCCTCGGCACCGGCGGCGCGGCCGAGCCGCACCCCCTCCTCCCTTTGCGGCGCTGGGAAGGGCCGCTCCCCCCCACCGCCACCATCAGCGGCTGCCCGGGAGGGCCCCCCCCACACGCCGCGGAGGGCGGCTCCCGCACGGCGGACGCACCGGCCCACGGTGGCAGGGCCGGACGAGGGTGCCCAAGGGCACGGGGTACCGGCGGGGTCTCGGCCGCTCCGTGCCCACCCCGGTACAGCCGCTCACCTCAGAGTCTCCACCGGGCGTTGGCAGCTCGCTGCGGGGTCTCCTCGGCTCGGGCGCAGGGGCACGCCGCCGCTGACGTCACCGCGCAGCGCACGCAGGGCGGGGCGGGGCGCGGCCGGAGGGGCGGGGCGGAGGCGCGGCCGGCAGGGGGCGCTGCTCAGCTGGCGCGCTCCGCCCTCCCGCGGGAACGCGCGCGGCTGCCCGCGGGGTGCGGGTGAAGGGGGGGAAAGGACCCGTACCCGGGACCCCCCCATCCGCACCCCCATGTGTGTGCGCCCCATGGGCCAGAGAACCCCTTCACCCCGCATCTGCACCCCTTGTGCGCGCCCCATGGGCCAGAGAACCCCTTCACCCCGAATCTGCACCCCTTGTGCATGCCCCATGGGCCAAAGAACCCCTTCACCCCGCATCTGCACCCCCTTGTGTGCACCCCAGGGCTGCAGGACCATACTGAGAGCACAAAGTCTCCCCTACAGCACGCAGTGCACCTCTGCATCCCTACTTCCAAATTCCACGCTTTCCTTCTTCCTTTTTCCTTCTCCCTGGAGCTGAAGCCAAAAGGATCAAAGAGCCACAACTCTGCTTAGAGTGACTCCCCCTGGCCATGGGATGACTCCGTGGTGCAGCGTGCACTCATGAGGGGTTATGACCAACCCCTCTAAAAAGCTAAATAAAACCAAAACTACCCTTCAGGAACAAGACCACAGGGGAGGAATCCTGCAGGAGCTGCCAGTTTGAGAGGCAGGAGCCAAAATCTGGCTTGAAATAGACAACTTGCTGGTCTCAGGAACCCAGGGCTGGATCAGATGTTAACAGCATCCTCCTGAAGAGCCTTTATGTGTGCGTGAGCAAAACCTGCTCTGCCCAATGCCACTGGTGCCAGAAGGACATTTGTGCCCTCAGCAAACACCGTCCATCCTTGTGGAATTCATAGCAAGCAGTTGCCTTCAGACCATGCTCACTGCAGCCCTGAGTCCTCATGGAAGAGCAAAGGGAGAGGAATGCTTTCAAACTGATTCTTCAAGATGAACTCCTGGGTGGAAACGAAGCCGTGCAGGAGATGAGTGATTTTTCACCTCTTCATCTGGGAAATGCTTTGCCTTCTGCAGCTGGAATCATCATCAGCCTCTGGTTCTGCTGTGTTCACTCCTCACCTACGTGGTGGCTGCTCTAAGCAAAGCAGAGGGCACACACTCACTGAAATGAAAGGCTTGAAAGTCACACAGGAGCAAGACACAGCTCAGACCTCTGCAGTCAACCTGTCCTCCAGCTCCATCCTCGCCTGCTTTCCAGAGGATGGGATGCTGAGCTCTGCAGAGGCATCTTCCACTACTTCCAACAGTGCTTCTTTGGGTTTAATTAGATCCAAAACCAGCTGAGATGGCAACACTGGGCAAGCTGCTTGGGAAGATGGTCCCCCCCTCTCCAGCATCACCTCCCTGCACCACAGCAGGACCAGTCAGCAGCTGCATCCCTGCTCCCTGCAGTGCAAAGAGCACCAAACACAAGGATGAAGACTAGCACCAGCACCTCCACATCTCGCCTCTTGATACCTTCTCATACAAATCTGTGGCCATGGTGGGGTTACTTTTCTGGTCCAAATCCAAGTAAAAGCCTTGCCAGCACCCAGAGGTTGGGCTGTGGGGTCCAGAGGGCCAGGGAGTTTCTTTGTGACATGAAACCCCACCACAGCCCAATGCATGAAATCACAAGCTATGGAGGACTCTGAGCATCACCCCGATCCCTTTGCACATGGATTTTCATGATGGGAAACAGGTAAAACTGGGGCAGGGATCCCCTCTTCCCAGAGGAGCATAAATGAGCACAAGTGAAGGTCTCTGATGTTGCTGTAATTAGCACCATGGCAAAGCCCATGCTGTAATTAACTTTCTCCCTTCCAAGTTCACATTTAATGACATGCAGTAAAATAAGACCTGGGGCGATGAAACAAGCAGGGAAAGAACCATCAAATTAAGACACTTGTGACTCGATAAGGAATTAACTATACCCTGGCCTAATAATAATAATAATAGTAATCATACATTGCTTTTAATCTGCCCTTGTGCTCCAAATGAGGGAGGGCACTGGGAAAAGGTGATTGAAATGTCCCTCATTGACTCCAGGACCAACCACACTGCAATGGGGCTGAGCAGAGCTGGGAGAAGAAAATCCAGGACAAAACCAGGCTGCCAAGGAGCTGCCTCAGACCTCCAATCCCTCTGCGATCCTTGCAGGGAATGGCTCTTCCCACAGGGAACTGGTGCTTCCAGCAGCCTCCAGCATCAGTCAGGGTGTACAGAGAGGTCCTCCCTCCCCTTGGCAGTGACTGCAGCACCAACCTCAAAGCAGTAGGTTCAGGCATCGAGATGGAGAGGTGTGAGTTGAGGGTGACCTGGGAGAAAACTGCAGGACTCCAATGGGGCACCCAAACCCTTGCCAGCAGCAGGCAAGGGCCAGGAGGAGCAGGATGCTCTGGGGACCTTGTGTGAGACAAACAAATCAATGCTAGAAGGGGAACAAGGAAGTTTAGAGGAGTTGAATGGATTATTTTGAGAGCCATGCCATAGAGAACAGAGGACACTGCTCTTCCACCACCACCCTGGAAGGCAGGAGAGCCCAAGCACAAATGCAGGTGGATGTTATGGAGCCCAACCGCAAGTATACTTCCACAAGCAGTCCCCAACCCTCCCACATCTCCAGCAGAGGAGATGCACTAAGGCCAGTGTGCACAGGCAATGCCTTGAGCAGCACAGATTATCTTGTCATCTCAAGGAGGTGAACAAGTCATGGGAAGGAGCAACCAGACATGTTGGGCTCATGTTGGGATCCAATCTGGACATCTCCATCAGCACATTCCCACCTCAGCTCCTCACAGAGCAGCTCCACATACCACAAAGTCTCCCTGTGCATTTTAACAAGGGGGAAAACCCAGCCCTGAACTCATCCTGCCACAGGCACAGTGAGGAACACCAGAGCTGGACAGGCAGGACATAATTCAGGGCATTACCACATTGGCCCCAAGCACTTCTGCTTTTTGCCCCAAGTCCTCTTGCAATTGCCTCTACCTGATCTTATGCACCTCTCACTACAGCTTGGTACAATCAAAGAAATAAATTACTCAATTACTAGAAAATCCAGTAAGGCTGAATGCAGAATGAGGGTCTTTAAAGCACAGAGCAAGTACTGGCAGCATCAGCATCTTCATTCCTTGGTCTCTTTCCTTGCCCTGTCTTTGGCAGAACACAGGTACCTCGTGTCCGTATGGTGCCTGTGTCACTTGGTCAGGCCCTGGAAGTTGGGCTCAGTGCAGGGGGGCAGCGCTGCCTGGCGGCTCAGCAGCTTCTCCAGGATGTTGATTTCAGCATCTCGTCTCTCCAAGTCCTCCAGGGGAGTCCAGGACATGTCGTGCTGGAGCTTATAGGCACCGAGAAATTCATGGGGACTCATCCCCCACTCCTGGAGGAGAAAGGAGAGATTCACATCACTGCTCAGCTTCCCTTGTGCTGTCCCTCTGTCCACGCTGGATAACCCTACCACCTCTGAAGCAGTCCCAGCTGTGTGATCACCCCATTTTCTGACCTCAAAATAGGTTCAACTAGACCAGAGGACTAAGTTCACCTCAAGCTACAGTGCTGTTGGCACAGGAGGCGTGGGGATACAAGATCTCCCTGTCCTGCAAAGAGCTTCTCTACATGTTTGGTGCTTTCTTCTGAAGCCTTCCCCCTGTCTTTAAGCAAATGGGTGGCCTGGAAGGAGGGTACCCCCAGGAGCACTCTACCAAGCTGCAGACAAACACTATCTGGACTGAAGCAGCAGGCAGCCACAGCGGTCAGGGAAGGCCCAGGGCACGTTTGCAGTTCCTTACTTCTAGAGAAAGAACCACTGGGACCAAAAGGCAGACTTCATGCACCAAGGTCTTCTTGCCCATCATCTACCAAGAGAACTTCACAACCTGGCTCTCAGACCAGCACAGGAACTCAGACCAAGGACAAACACCAGCTGAGCAGGGGCCAACTGTTAGGTTGGTGCTTTTGTCTGAGGTCCAGAAGTGCCCAAGCACCAGAAACATCAGTTTTTCCCCTCCCTGCTTTCTCTGGGGCTGTAAGCACTCACCTTAGGAGAGAGGATGGAGAAGTATCGCTGGCCACTCTCCCGCCTGTACATGTAGTAAATGTTTCCTGGCTTCTTCACGAGGTTACAGGCCACGTGGTGCAGGTCAGCATCTCGGTTAGCTTCATCCAAGACCTAAAAAAGCCCAACTATCACATCTCCACACTTGAAATAAAACAACACCACACTATGGCCTCTCAGCCAGAGCCTGACACGCTGCTCATGAGGCCTCATGCTCCTCAGTGCACGTCTGGCTTCATACAGCAGATCTCAACTTGCCCCAGGCAAGAGATGCTTCCCAAAGTTTTCTCCCAGTTTCCCCTGTCAGCTGGGCCCCAGAGCTCCTGCAGCCCTCCACAGAGGTGCAGGCACCTTCAAGCATCACAGCCCTCTTCACCACAGCCCCAGGTTCACCTCTGTGTCCAACCCCACCACGTTCCTTGTCTCCATACACAGCTGCTGTACCCTGGGAGCTTCCCTGCTGCGGTCCCCAAGGGAAGGGACAGCAAACAAAGAGGGATTCATCTCCCCAGCTCCGGCCCCACCAGTGAACGATTATATGACACAACGGCCTCTATGGCAGCGGGCCAGTCACAGTGACTGGCAGATCCCTTCCCACTCAGGCTTTGAGATTTCACTCCCGAAGGTCAAGTGTGAATTGAAGAGCACAGTCGGGCCCTGCTGGCCTTGCTGCCAAGGCCTGCTGCTCCAGTAAACGAACTGGGATGAGCTAGAAAGCCAGACCCATCACCAGGTAACAGCTCATCCCTCCCAGGGGCTCAGAACCAGGCAGAGCCCCATTGTCACCCCACTGCAGAGAGCCCGAACAGGAGCACACACTACAGGGACAAGTCTGTCCCCAGACTGAGTCATCTCTGTCCTCCCTGACACCTCAGCTGGAGGAGCCATCACTTCTCCACCTTAACACACAGGATATGGACATGACCTGGGGAAAGCACCAGGAGCAACCCCCCCATCCCCAGCTGATACTACACAATAAACCCGCCTGATTTCATCCCTGAATCTGCTCTACTTGGCTCCTGGCCACGATTCACATCCAGGTCAGACGCTCATCTCCCTCCCTTCACAAGCAGGAGGCACGAGCCTGCAGCCAGCGGCTTCCTCACCTTGCGAGCCTGCTCCTGCAAGCACCGGATCTGCTCGGCGATGATGGTCAGTTTATTGCAGGCATTGGCCCGGATGAAGTCGTCCGCCTGGGAAGAAGAACGAGGATCAGAACAAGGACCTCACTCAAGGCTTTGTCAGGGCTGGGGGTGATGCGGGAGCTGCCCCATGTGCAGCTGTGGGGCAGTCGAGGCACCCCCAGGAAGCAGGGGGCTGGGAATGCCTGGACATGCTGGGAAGCAGCCAAAAGGAGCAATAAGACATACTGGGAGGCAATGGGACACACTTGGAGGAGGCAGTAGGACTTACAGGGAATCGTATAGGTGGACTGAGCAGCTCTGGGGTACGTAGTGGGCTGGGAGCTGCTACTGGAAGGCATAAGGATGTACCAAGAGGCACTAGGGGGTAGTAGAACACACTGGGAGGCACTGGGATGGACTGGGAAGGGCAGCAGGATGTATTAGGAAGAACTTGGGTGGACTGAGAGGCATCGGGACAGACCAGGAGTCACTGAAGGGAGAACAGGGAGATGCTGGGATGGACTGGGAGAGGCGCAGGATCCACCAGGACACACTGGGGTGCGCTCAAGACAACGGGACACAACAGCAGTTGGTACTGGGATGGACTGGGAGTCACGGGGGGGGGGGCGGAAAGACACAGCGGGAAGCACCGAGGGGGGCTGTAGGGCACACAAGAAGGTCACCGGGGCCGCCACCAGGTAAGGAGGGCAGCGGGACACCGGGAATCCGTGCGGCCCCAGGCCCGGCCCTACCGCCGCGGTTGATGCCGCCGAGGCCCGGCCCGGCCCGGCCCGGCCCTCACCTGCTGCACCTGCCGGGCCAGGGCCACCAAGTCCCCGGGGTCCCCGACGCGGGCGGCGCGGCCGGTGCTGCCCTCCACGAGGGAGAGGGACGAGGACGGGACCGGCATCAGCCCCGCTCCGCCAGCGGGCTCCGCACCGCCCTCCGCCGCCATTAAAGGCCCCCTCCGAGCCCCGCCTCTTCCGCCCCGAGAGGCGGAGCTTCCGCCGAGGAGCGGTGCTGATTGGTGGGCGGGAGGGGCGCGGCGGAGGGGCGGGCCGCCGGTGCCCGGTTCGGGGCGGGGCGTCCGCGGGCGTGGCCCCGGGGCTCGGCCATGGCGCTGCCGCCGGTGGTGCCGCTGATGCTGGTGCTGCCGTTGGTGCGGGCTTCCACGCCATCGGGGCACGTACCGGGGGTGGTACCGGGGGTGGTACCGGGGCTTGTACCGGGGCTTGTACCGGGGCTGGGACCGGCCGAGGTCCCGTTGCCGGCCCAGCCCCCGGACGCTCTGTTCGCCGCCGGTGCCGAGGCGTACTCCCGCGGGGACTGGCCCGCCGTGGTGCTGCAGATGGAGCGGGCGCTGCGGGCCCGGGCTGCCGTGCGCGCACGGTTGGTGCGGTGCCGCCTGCTCTGCGCCAACGCTACGGCCGGGGTGGCGGAGGGGGCCGATCCGCAGCTCGAACCGGTGCTCCGCGACCTGCTCTTCTTCCGGGGGCTGCTGCGCCGTGCTGCCTGCCTGAGGGGCTGCGGGCCCGCCGAGCCCTCCCGTTACCGGCTGGCCGAGGAGCTGGACCGCGAGTTCAGCAAGCGCAGCCCCTACAACTACCTCCAGGTCGCCTATTTCAAGGTACGGGACCGGCGGTGTTGAGGGGGGGTCCTCCGGGGGGCCGACCGGGAAGGGAGAAGGGGTGTCCCGGTGCTGGGGGATCTATTGCGCCTGCTATGGGATGGGCGGGATGCTCGACGGGATCACGGAGCCGTGGCAATGGATTGGGATGGGACGGACGGAACCGGGCTGGGGCGATCCCCGCGGGGTGTCCCGGGAACCGGTGTGAGTCCCGCTGATCGCCCCAGCGGGGCAAGGGGGATCGGACGGCGGCCCCAAGCCCTGCCCGCCCCTGTCCCGCCCCCCCCCATAGTGCCACGTAGGAGCTCGTCGGGGCCGCCCCCCCCATCAGTACCCTCCTTCCGCACCCCCCCTCCACCATATCCCGGTACCGGGGTCCCCTCCGGTCTCAACCCGGTCCCCCCCCCCGGTGCAGATGAACCGGCCGGCACAGGCAGCAGCAGCGGCTCACACCTTCTTCATGGCCAACCCCGGGCACCAGGAGATGAGGCAGAACCTGGAGTACTACCAGGCCATGGCGGGTGTGCGAGAGGATGACTTCACCGACCTGGAGGCCAAACCCCACCTGGTGAGGACCCCCCACACACCCCCTCCAAAAACACCCATCCATTGCTGGGCTTGCTCAGGTCGCACCATGCCCCGTCAAGCTCATGATGCTGTGAGGTCAGTCCCATGGGGACAAGGCACAGGGATAGAGGGGGGTGTTGAGCCTCCCCTCATCCTTTCTTATCCCTTTTCAGAGCGAGTTTCGTCTCGGGGTCCGGTTTTACACAGAGGAGCAACCGGGCGCTGCCATCCTGCACCTGGAGAAGGCGTTGGAGGAGTATTTTGTGGCGGACACCGAGTGCCGCGCGTTCTGCGAGGGACCCTACGACTACGAGGGCTACAACTACCTGGAGTACAACGCAGACCTCTTCCAGGCCATCACAGGTAGGAGCTGCATGGGCTGTGTCCTACCCCGAGAGCTGGGGACAGTGCTGGAGGGGGTGGATGTCCCCAAAACGGTCCCTAAGGACCTCTGGGGGTGGTGGGTCCCCAAAGAGGGCAAACCCCATCCTAGGTTTCACTAGGAGGTGTATGGCCTGTAAGTGCTAGGAGGTGTTTGCCCACACTCAGCCCTGGGGGTGATGCCCAGGGATCCCCCAGAGTCCAGAGGGATATGGAAAAACACAGGAGCCAGCAGAGGGTCACCAGGAGGCTGAGGATGGGCAAAAGTGGGCAACCACCACCCTTGAGGGTTCCCACTGCTGCAAGCAAGAGGTGGGAGTGGAGACCCCTGAGGTCCTGTTCACCAGCCCTTGGGTGACCATAAATGGGGACACAGGGTTTTTTCTCCCCCAGATCACTACATGCAGGTGCTGAGCTGCAAGCAGGGCTGCGTTACGGAGCTGGCCTCGCAGCCCGGCCGGGAGAAGCCTTTGGAGGATTTCCTGCCCTCACACTTCAACTACCTGCAGTTTGCCTACTACAACAGTAAGCAGCTCCTTGCCCCATCCTCCCTTGGCCGTTGGTGCTGGCCACTGTGCTCTGCATGGGCTGTTCTTCATAGGTAGAAATCATACGTTTCAAGCATCCATAGATTCACGGAATGGGTTGGGTTGGGAGGGACCTTCAAGGGTTATCCAATCCAACCCAAGGTGCAGGGATATCCTGTGCTAGAACAGCTTGCTCCAAGCCCCTGTGTCCAACCTGGCCTTGAGCACTGCCAGGGATGGGGCAGCCACAGCTTCTCTGGGCACCCTGTGCCAGCGCCTCAGCACCCTCACAGGGAAGAGCTTCTGCCTAAGAGCTCAGCTCAGTCTCCCCTCGGGCAGGTTCAAGCCATTCCCCTTGGCCTGTCCCTACAGGCCCTTGTCCCAAGCCCCTCTCCAGCTTTCCTGCAGCCCCTTTAGGCACTGGAGCTGCTCTAAGGTCTCCCCTTCAGGAGCCTTCTCTTCTCCAGGCTGCCCCAGCCCAGCTCTCTCAGCCTGGCTCCAGAGCAGAGCTGCTCCAGCCCTCGCAGCATCTCCATGGCCTCCTCTGGCCTCGCTCCAGCAGCTCCAGGTCCCTCTTGTGCTGCTGCCCCAGAGCTGGAGCAGGGCTGCAGGGGGGGGGGTCTCCCCAGAGCACAGCAGAGGGGCAGGATCCCCTCCCTGAGCTGCTGCTCACTCTTCTCTTAATGCAGCCCAGGATACTCTTGGCTTTCTGGGCTGTGGGTGCACACTGCTGGGTCAGGCCAATTTTTTGCCCATCAGTGTCTCCAAACCCTTCTCCTCAGGGCTGCTCTGAACCCATCCATTCCCCAGTCTTCACTGATCCTGGTGGAGGACTTTCAACTCAACCTGTTGAACTTCATGAGGTTCTCACAGGGATGCTCCTGCAGCCTGCAGTGCTCTGCAGGAGATCTGGGTCTGTCTGTGCCTGGCCACAGTAACCCTCCACGTTGCTTTAGATGCCCAATTCCCAGCAGCTTTGCTTTCCAAGTGAAATAACAGCCTGCAGAAGCCTGTTTTTTTTCCTCCTGGATCTCTCCACCTCTTGCTCCAAACCACAGAGGCACCTCCCCTCCAGAACAGTTGGTTATAACCCAAACGCACCCAATTTAATCATTACTTTGTTATTACCTCCTTAGAAATATCTAAACTGTTTCTGTGCAAATTTCTCCAAATAAGAGTGAAAAACCCACATGAAATCCAAGACTGACAAGCTGGGATCCTGTGCATCAAGTGGGTGCTTAAGTGGCTGGAAATTGCAGGTTAGCCTGGGAATGGTTGGATCTTGCTGCCTGGAAATAGGCTTGGAGATGTTCTCCAAGCAAGAAACCTACCCAGTCTGTGGCCCTGGTTTCTGGTGAGGTGATTTTGGAGGCAGGAGAGCTCCTCTGGGGTTGTAATGTTGCCTCTGGGGCAGCAGCTCTTTGCTCCAGGGTACCTGCTCTGCTTGGGAGATGCTTTGAACAACAGCAAGGACTTCCTCTCTTATTTCTCCTCCGTATCCATGTTTGCTCTTCTTCTGATGCTCTCGATGTGCCAGGTTGGATGGGGCTTGGAGCAACCTGCTCTAGTTGAAGGTGTCCCTGCCCATGGCAAGGGGTTGGAACTGGATGAGCTTTAAGGTCCCTTCCAACCCAAACCAGGCTGGGATTCTATATTTGACATCCCTTTTTCTCTTTGCAGATGGGAATTACGAAAAAGCCATTGAATGTGCCAAAACCTATTTGCTGTTCTTCCCAAACGACGAGGTGATGAACCAGAATTTGGCCTATTACACTGCAGTCCTGGGGGAGAACCTGGCAGGAGCCATCCAACCCCGAGAGGTGAGCGACCAGCTGGGATGAGCCATTGCAGGGATGGCTTCTCCCCTTCTTGGGGACATTTGCAGAGGTTTTGGGGCCTGCTCTGGTCCACCTGGGAAGGTTGAAGAGGAAGAGGGCCGCAAGACCAAAGCAGTTGGAAAGTAGCTAAGATGAAGAGCATCACTGGTAAAGTATCTTTGGCCAAGTGAAGGCTTGGTGGCTTGCACAATGGATCCTGTGGGAGAGACTTTACAGGAGGGTCAGAGCCCACCTCTTCTACACACTTCCACAACTGAAGTGAAAGTGCTTAAAGAGGAGAGGATTTGGCTTCAAAGTAGCTGGATCCGGATGCTCAGGTGCTGCCTGAGGGGGTAGGCATGGATGGAGGTCTCTGCCCCACATCAGCTGAAGCAGGAGAGGGAGTCTGCTTCTAAAGAGCTTCTTGCAGAAGGGGCACGTGTGCCTCTGTCTCCCCCATCCTCTCCCCAGGGCTCATCCACATGGGAAAAGGGAAGCTCATGCAGGATGGGGAAAGCCACTTGCTTCCCATCTGCCAGAGGGACTGGGAAGCCAGGGTCTGGAGCAAGGGCTGCAGGAATCATGTAAACCCTGTCCCCTCCTGTGCTTGGTCAGGGTCTTTCCAGAGCCCTCACCTGCACCTCTGCCCATCCCACAGGAGATCCAGGTGTACCGCCAGCGGAGCCTCATGGAGAAGGAGCTGCTCTTCTTCAGTTATGATGTCTTTGGCATCCCCTTTGTGGACCCGGTGAGTGGAGCTGGACCAGGCAGGATGCAGTGGCAAATGGAAAGGGGATGAAGGGTCTGCATCCCAGCCACGTCCTCACCCAGCTCCTCATGGTGGTGATGATGATGACGATGATGTTGTTCTGCCTGTAGGACACATGGACACCAGAAGAGGTGATACCAAAAAGGCTGCGAGAGAAACAAAAGTGAGTGCTCTCCCATTCTGATAGCCAAGCCTACCCAATGTGGGGACCAACGGGACATTCCCCTCTTCCCCCATGGAGCTGCTGGTTTTGGTGTTGGGCTGGAAGAGGCTGCTGGAGGGCAGAACTCTGCTCCCCATCAGCACTTGGGTTGATGGGCATGGGTAGGTCACCCCAAGAAGCTTGGGGTGAGGGATGCACTGAGACTCGGGCTTTGTCACCTGGAGAAGGCTTGTCCTGTCCTCGTCACAGTATCACAGTATGTTAGAGATTGGAAGGGACCTCAAAAGATCATCTAGTCCAATCCCCCTGCCGGGGCAAGAACACCTAGATAAGGTTACACAGGAACGTGTCCAGGTGGGTTTTGAATGTCTCCAGAGAAGGAGACTCCACAACCTCCCTGGGCAGCCTGTTCCAGTGTTCCGTCACCCTCACTGAGAAGAAGTTTAAGTGGAACCTCTTGTGTTCCAGTTTGTACCCATTGCCCCTTGTCCTATCATTGTTTGCCACTGAGAAGAGCCTGGCTCCATCCTCGTGACACTCCCCCTTTATATATTTATATACACTAATAAGGTCACCCCTCAATCTCCTCTTCTCCAAACTATAGAGACCCAACTCCCTCAGTCTTTCCTCATAAGGGAGATGCTCCACTCCCTTAATCATCTTAGTTGCCCTGCGCTGGACTCTCTCCAGCAGGTCCCTGTCCTTCTTAAACTGAGTGGCCCAGAACTGGACACAATATTCCAGATGAGGTCTCACCAGGGCAGAGTAGAGGGGAAGGAGAACCTCTCTCGACCTACTAACCACCCCCCTTCTAATACACCCCAGGATGCCATTGGCCTTCTTGGCCACAAGGGCACAGTGTCGGCTCATAGTCATCACTAGGACCCCCAGGTCCCTCTCCCCTACACTGCTCTCTAACAGGTCGTTCCCCAGCCTATACTGGAACCTGGGGTTGTTCCTGCCCAGATGCAGGACTCTACACTTTCCCTTGTTATATTTCATCAAGTTACTCCCTGCCCACCCTTCCAGCCTGTCCAGGTCCCTCTGGATGGCAGCACAGCCTTCTGGCGTGTCGGCCACTCCTCCCAGCTTAGTGTCATCAGCAAACTTGCTGATAGTACACTCAATTCCCTCATCTAAATCACTGATGAATATATTAAATAGTACTGGTCCCAGTACTGGTGCCCCCGCAGTGCGGGGACAATGGGATAAGGGAGCTGATGGTTGCTGTGTGCCCAGGGCAGAGCGGGAGACAGCAGCGCGCATCTCGGAGGAGATCGGGAACCTCATGAAGGAGATCGAGACGCTGGTGGAGGAGAAGGCCAAGGAGTCTGCTGACATGAGCAAATTCATCCGGGAAGGTGCGGAGGGAGGGATGGGATGGGATGGGGCGCTCCATGTGAGCTCACATCCCTCCACATGGGTGCTGGCAGCACCCATCCCTGTGTCTGCTCCTGTTCCGCAGGTGGCCCCTTGGTGTATGAAGGAGCCACTGTGACCATGAACTCCAAGGCTTTGAATGGTTCCCAGCGCGTGGTGGTGGATGGAGTCCTCTCCGCCGAGGAATGCCGGGAGCTGCAGAGGCTCACCAACGTAAGCACAGGGATGGGATGGGGCAGGAGATGCTGCAGGTCCCATCCTGTGGCTCTGCAACTGGTAACACCAATTGGGTTTTGCAGGCAGCAGCCTCAGCGGGGGATGGCTATCGTGGGAAGACATCTCCTCACACCCCCAGTGAGACCTTCTATGGGGTGACGGTCCTCAAGGCCCTCAAGGTTCGGGGGGCTGCAGGGAGGGAGGAGGGATGGGCTTGGGAGAGAAGGGAGAAGGGGTTTAGAGGGTTGTGCTCACCCAACCCGCCTGCCCTTGCAGCTGGGCCAGGAGGGCAAAGTGCCCCTGCAGAGCGCCTACCTCTACTACAACGCGACGGAGAAGGTCCGGCGCATGATGGAGTCCTACTTCCGCCTGGAGGTCCCGCTCCACTTCTCCTACTCCCACCTCGTGTGCCGCACGGCCATCGATGGTGAGCATTCCCCAGGGAGGAGCACATCTCCTTCAGCCTCCTGCCTGGGGTGGTCTGATCGTGGACCTTAGAGACCTCCTTGATGCTCATTGTCCCAAAAGGATAACGTGGGGAGCTTGTCCCTAAGCCTGGGTTGGGAAGATGGGGAGCTCTGGTGGTTGCATCTGATGGGGCAGGTGGTTTCATGCTGTTCAGCGTTTGGGATCAGGTGCTCATGGAGATGCCATGGGACAAGTCAACGGAGGCTTTTGCCACCCAAACAGCATCTCATGGTCCACTCTTTAGCAAGGGGAAGGGCTTTGGGCTGCAGGTGACTTCCTCATCACCCTCAAGCACATGATGCTTGGGGACAGACCTGTAGGGACAAAGGGTTCTGATGTGCCACTCTAGAGAAGCAAGAAGGCCGGAGCGACCACAGCCATGAGGTGCACGTGGACAACTGCATCCTCAACGCAGAGGCTCTGGTGTGTGTGAAGGAGCCTCCAGCCTACACCTTCCGGGATTACAGGTACCGGTGGTGTCTACCACTTGAGGGCACCATGGCTTGATGGGTTGGGAGGAGCGGGATGGGAGGCCAGCCCAGTTTGAGCCTCTGGGTCTTGTTGTGGTGTTGGGGCAGCTCCAGCCTCACCCGGTTGCTGGAGCTGTGGTGATGGTTGTCACCTCCTGCTGCCTCCAGTGCCATCCTCTACCTCAATGGGGACTTTGAAGGAGGAGCTTTCTACTTCACCGAGCTGGATGCCAAGACTGAGACCGTAAGTAGCACCAAACCCAGTTGTCCCCCTCAACGCACCATCCCGCAAGGGATGAACATGGGGACCAAATCCCCACCCTGTTTCCCATGGGGTGCATCCCAACCGGAGCATCCCATGGTGGCAGGCAGAGGTCCAGCCGCAGTGTGGTCGTGCCGTGGGTTTCTCCTCCGGCTCGGAGAACCCCCATGGGGTGAAAGCCGTGACCAAGGGCCAGCGCTGCGCCATCGCCCTCTGGTTCACCCTGGACCCCCGGCACAGCGAGCGGGTAAGCTCCCTTCCCTCCCCACAGCGGGTGGGCAATGGCCATGCTTTGGCCATGCTTATCCCTTGTGGGGCTGCCCCACAGGAGCGTGTGCAGGCGGATGACCTGGTGAAGATGCTGTTCAGCACGGAAGAGAGGGATTTGCTGCCGGAGATGGAGAAGGAATCACCGGCTGCTGTTGTGGTGGCAAAGGATGAGCTGTGATGTCCCACTGGGACCAGTGCCACCAGCATCAAGCTGCCAGCCCCAGACCCTCCTCTGCCCACAACTGCTATGGGATGGGGAACTGGGGGATGCCCAACACCATCCATGTGCAGAGCTGAGCTAAGCGCAGCACGGACACTCTGGGGGTGACTTGGGGACGAGGGAGGGATGCTCTTTATGGGATGGGGACCCAGTGCTCCAGTAGCAGATCAGTGCCTTTCCTCTCAGCTCAGCCTGCGGGTATTTAAGTGCCTTCTACAGAAAATGGGTGAATAAAGGTGGGTTTTCTAAGCTGGTGCTTGCTGCTGTGCCCCCACCCTGCGCCCTTGGCTGCTGTCTCGTATTGAGCTGCATCCATCCCTCCTTGCAAGCACCCAAGGGTTCTGCAGCCCTGGGAAGGTGCTTGGTAGGGGGGGACAGAGGGGACTTGGGGGGGGCTGAGTGTCTCCTATGGGCACTAGGGAACTTTTGGCATCCCCTGGACCCCACTCGTGCTGCGTGGGATTGCAGGGAGGAGGGAACCGTCCTTGAACAAGAAGGACATTGAGCACCGGGGCACCCCGGAACAGGGCCTGGAATTGTTCTGCCCTGACCATTACCATAATAACCATCCCGGGAATGCGAGTAAATGCATCCTGCCCCACGCACCGCAGCCCGGCACCCCCATAACGCATGGAGAGGGCGCAGGGCAGGGCCTGGTGGGTGTCAGGGTTTGGGGTGAAGGGGAGAAGGGGGGTCCTGAGGGTTTCTCCAGTATGGAGGCATGGTCCCAGTTCTCGTTCCCCACCATCCCAGTGCCCGACCCCATCCGGGTGGGTGCGTGAGCTGACTGCTGATGAGGCCGCTGTGGTTAACGATTGCCAGGTCCTGGGGCTGCCACCGGCTCGGTGTCACCGGGGTGGGGACATGTGTGTGTGTGTGTCCCCCATACCCGACCAGTGTCCCCCCCCATCAATGGCCGCTGTTGTTGGTGCTGCGGTGGCGGTCCCCAGTCCCCCCACACAGAGGCGAGGGTCAGGGCTGGCAATGGGGCAATGGGGCAATGGGGCAATGGGGGGGGAGTGACCCCATTCCCTATGCTCCCAAGCCAAATTCCTGGAGCCACCCCCAGGGTTGGAAGGGGGAGCTCCCTGCAGGGACCCCCATTTTCCCCTCTCCACTGCTCTTTGGGGGTCCCCCCATAACTCTCCTCCCCAAGGCCCAATTCTCCCCCCAGATCTCATCTTCCCCCCAAATCCCTTCAACCCCCCCCCCCCCCGTGTCACCCCAAGCCCTAAATCCTCCCCCCATCACCCCAGTCTTCTGGTACCCAAATCCCCCCCAAGCCCCAAATATCCCCTTTCCCCCCTCCTTCCATGTCCTCAAATGTCCCCCAGGAACCAAATCCCCCCTCCCAGAACTCAAATTCCCCCCCTCCAAGCCCCAAACCCTGTCCTTGAGACCCAAATCCCCCCCCTTTAGGCCCTGCTCTTCCCCCCGGTACCCAACCCCCCCCCCTCAACCCCCAAATATCCACCCCAATTCACACCCCCCCTTCCCCATAGAACCCATCACACCCCCCCCCCCCCCCCATCCCGCCCCATCCATGTCGTGGGTGCCAGGGGGCGTGCTCGAGGGCTCCGGTGCCCGGGGAGCGCTGCGCGGAGCAGGCTCGAGGCGGCGGCGATGGGCGGCAGCGGGGCTCGGGAGCTGGCCGGGTACCTGCTGGCTCTGGCCGGGTGGGTGTCGGCGCTGGCGGCCGCGGTGCTGCCGCAGTGGAGGCAGAGCTCGTACGCCGGGGACGCCATCATCACGGCCGTGGGGCTCCACGAGGGGCTGTGGATGAGCTGCGCCGCGCAGAGCACCGGGCAGGTCCAGTGCCGCCTGCACGACTCCCTCCTGTCCCTCGACGGTGCGTACGGGGCGGGGGGGAACGGGGTGAGCTGCCTGCACCGGAGAGACCGGGTGGGTTTGGTACCCACCAACCCACCCCATATAGGTCTAAATCCCTCTTTGGGTTGGATCCCGCCTCTGTGGGTCTGAGCATCCCCAATATGGGTTTGAGCCCCTCGATGGGTTTGGTACCCACCAACCCACCCCATATAGGTTCAAAGTCCTCTTTGGGTTGGATACCGCCTCTGTGGGTCTGAGCATCCCCAGTATGGGTTTGAGCCCCTCGATGGGTTTGGTACCCCCCCCTCCCCATATAGGTCTATATCCCTCTTTGGGTTGGACCCCCCTTCTGTAGTTTGAGCATCCCCAGTATGGGTTTGAGCCCCTGGATGGGTTTGATACCCACTCCCCCCCCCATATAGGTCTAAATCCCATTTTGGGTTGGACCCCGCCTTCTGTGAGTTTGAGCATCCCCAATATGGTTTTGAGCCCCTCAATGGGTTTCATACCCACTCCCCCCCCCCCCTCAGGGTCTGAAGCCCTCTTTGGGTTGGACCCCCCTCTGTGAGTTTGAGCATCCCCAGTATGGGTTTGGTACCCCCCCCCCCTATAGGTCTGAAGCCCTCTTTGGGTTGGACCCCCCCTCTATGAGTTTGAGCATCCCCAGTGTGGGTTTGAGCCCCTCGATGGGTTTGTTACCCCCCCTCCCCATATAGGTCTAAATCCCTCTTTGGGTTAAACCCCCCCCTCTGTGAGCCTGAGCATCCCCAAATGGGTTTGAGCACCTCGATGGGTTTGATACCCACTCCCCCCCCCATATAGGTCTGAAGCCCTCTTTGGGTTGGACCCCCCCTTCTGTGAGTCTGAGCATCCCCAGTATGGGTTTGAGCCCCTGGATGTGTTTAACACCCTGCCCCCAGTGTGGGTTTGAGCCCCTCTATGGGTTTAACATCCCCCCTTCCATGGGTCTGAACCCCTCTATAGGTTTAACATCCCTCCTTCTATGGGTCTGAACCCTTCTATGGGTTTGACATCACCCCCTTCCATGGGTCTGAACCCCTCTATAGGTTTAACATCCCTCCTTCTATGGGTCTGAACCCTTCTATGGGTTTGACATCACCCCCTTCCATGGGTCTGAACCCCTCTATAGGTTTAACATCCCCCCTTCCATGGGTCTGAACCCCTCTATGAGTTTGACACTCCTCCATGGGTCCATGCCCCCTCCACTTCTGAGGCCTCTCCATGAGGCTCCCCTGACCCCTCCAGTGTTCACAGCCCTTGCACAACCCTTCCCATGGGTCTGAGCCCCCTAAATGCACCTCAGCCCCCCTCAAAAGGCTCTGACCCCCTTTGACTCTCCCCCTCACCTGAGCCACAACGTGGGTCCAGGCTCCTCACCTCCATCCCATGGGTCTGAGCCCTCCTGTCCCCATGGCTTTGAGCCCCTTTGTGTGTCTCAGGCTCCCTTGGCCCCTATGGGTTTGAGCTCCACATTTGGGGACCCACAGTGCCCCATGGGGACAGCACCATGGCACAGGGGCAGTGATGCTGGTGCTGGTGCAGTCAGGGTGGCTCTGGTGAGGATGAGTGTGGCAGGATGAAGGTCGGGAGCATCACAGGGTGAGCGAGGACAGGGTTAAGGACAGGTTCATCCCCAGCATGGCACAGGGTGACCTTGCTTTGGAGACCATCTATGGCCAAAAGCACCCGGTGAGGCCTTTCCCTGTCACCCCTTGCAGTTCACATCCAGACCTCCCGCGCTCTCATGGTCATCTCCCTCCTCCTGGGCTTCTTCGGCATCATCGTGAGCGTGGTGGGCATGAAATGCACCAAGGTTGGTGAAGAGGACCCCATAACCAAGAGCCGCATCGCTGTCGCTGGAGGTGTCCTCTTCATCCTCGCGGGTAAGGCAGCTCCAATGCAGAGCACCCCAAATGCCCTTTAAAAGCTGTTGGATAGGGGGAGAGGTTTGGTGATGGTCGGGGTTGGAGTTGTCCCTGCTCACTGCAAGGGGTTGGATTAGGAGACCATCAATGGTCCCTTCTGACCCGAACCGTTCCATGATCCTACATCCAGGTCTGTGCACGCTGGCTGCCGTGTCCTTGTACGCAACACGGGTGACCTATGAGTTCTTCAGAGAGAGCAGCGTCCCCATCAACGCCAGGTGAGAGCCGCACTGGGGGATGCTCTTTGAATCCCGTCTTATCCCTTCACTTCCCATAGGATCTTCCTGTGCCATCTGGTTAGGGGCAGATATGCCACCCCGTGTGGGACCTATGGCACCGTGGGGCAGGAGGTGTCCCCAGTGCTAAAGCTTAGGTTGGTACCACCACTGACATAGTGCTGGGACACAAGAGGAGTCAAGCATGGGGGAACCCACAGCTGCATCCATCCAATGTGAAAGGAGGGGGATGGCCACGGAGAAGAAGACCCAACATCCCCCTTGACGTCACCCAGGGCTTTGAGCATCCCTGTGCCCATCACCTGCATCCCTGCCACGCTCCCCCCTCCTCTCTTGCTGCAGGTACGAGTTCGGCTCAGCTCTGTTCATCGGATGGGGAGCCACCGGCCTCATGATGCTGGGGGGCTCCCTCCTGTGCTGCTCCTGCCCCCCCAAGGAGCGGCGAGGACAGCGCAGCTACCGCCAGTCCCAGCCTTCCACGGCGCGGGAGTACGTCTGATCCCTCACCCTGCATCCCAAAGCCAGGCGAGACCCCGGTGCTCCCACCCCATTGGTCCCTGGATGCTCCAGGAGACCTTTCCTCCTCCTCCTCATCATCATCTCCCAGGTTTCAGCACGTTAATAGGATCCCAGCTTGGTTTGGGTTGGAAGGGACCTTAAAGCTCATCCGGCTCCAATCCCAACACCTTCCACTGGAGCAGCTTGCTCCAAGCCCCTGTGTCCAACCTGGCCTTGAGCACTGCCAGGGATGGGGCAGCCACTTCTCCTCAACCATGCTCTAAAACAGGGATTTTTAGGGCACAGGCTCCCTCCAAGGGCTCTCACCCCCAGCAACCTGCACTATGGGTCCATCTATCACATGGGTGCAGCAGCGATGCCAACGCTGCAGGGGTGATGCCATAACCCCCCCTACCACCTTCCCCCTGCATCCCATATCCAGGAGCAAACAAAGAGCTTGGTTTTCCTGGGATGAAGCTGCTGGCCATGTCCATCAGATCAGCTCAACCTGAGGCTCGAGCATCCTATGGCCCAGCAGAGGGATGTATTGGGGTGCAAAGCGTTGCCCTCCCTCATTGCTACCCAAAACCAGCATTCCTTGTCATTATGATTAACACTTGATTGGAGCCCGGGTGCTGGTGCTCTGCCAGCTAAAACCTGTCCTGCCCTTACTGCTCACCAGGCACAAGTATGTGGCCTTGTTAAGTAGAACAAACAGCATCGAGCAAATTAAAGCAGGCAAAAAAGGGGGTTTTGAGCACAAAGCAGGGATTTATTCCTCATTCATGGCCGTTTCGGGTGGCAGATGCATGGAGCTTGGATTTCGATGCCTCCCCGCTGTGTCCAAATCCCTCTTCCCCCCACCAGGACCCTATGGAACCGGTGGTGAAGTCCCCAATGCCAACGTGCCCATCGCTTCCTCACACCTCATCTGACCGCACTAACTGCACCGCTGCTCCGGTTGCACCCCGCATCCCCCCGTGCCTCCATCCCTCCATGTACCATGTGTGCTGTGCCAGATAACCTGCAGGGAAAGCAGTGGAAGGGATCCAAAGAACCAGATTATCTGGGGTTTTTTGGGTTTTTTTTAATTACAACTTTATTTTTTAACCCCAATTAGATGAAGTAGCGGATTTGTTGGGTTTTGTTTGATGTATTTTGGTTTGCTCTATTTTACGCCGTTTTATTGTAAGGTTTTGTTTGGTTTGCTCTATTTTAGGGTTTTGTTCTGTTATTTTGTTCCATTTTATTTTATCCCATTTTATTGTATCTCCCTCTATTTCATGCCCATGCACTGCTTGGGGTCGTGGTCCATGCTGGAGGGGAAGTGATGCTATTTCCACCCATGGGGGCGGTGGGGTGATTTCTCTCTCTCACATAGGACTAACCACCCTCTTTCTCTTTTAAATCGCAGACCCCCTGTAAAAATGCCTTCTTCACCCATCAGGGGAGAGCAGTGCTTATAGTCTGTCTTCACCCATCAGGTGCTTGGTTGGCTGAACCCAACTTATGGGGTTCCCCTCCAAAAATACACCCCCAAAAGCTACTGCAGTGAGGATTGAAAACGAACCCTCATGCTTTGAACCCCCCCCAAAATACATCAAAAAAGGCATTTTTATACCAAGAAAACAGCGTGGTGTAGAAGAATGGTTTTATTCTTTGCATCCGAAATCCCTTTCAGTTTCCAATGGGATGCACGGCCGTGGGAATGGGACTGGTTGGGGTTTTTAAATGCATTTTGTTTTGCTGATTGTTTGTACTAAAACTGGTGACTCTGATATTAAAATATTTCCAATCATGGGCATCGCTCTCAAACCATCTCTTTGTTCTTTCCCCTTCCAAATCTGGGCCAGGCTCTCACAAGTGATCCCGTTGCTGGGTGGAAGCAGCTTCTGCAGCACAGCCCAGGCAGGGCCATGAACACTGGCTTCCCTCCTAGGCATGTGATGGTTAGATACTTTGGGTCTTTTCCTATGTGTTGCTCTCCAAAGGAGGGAATTTGGCCTTTAAAAGGGCTTAATTTAAGGCTAAACCAATGGGAATCCCAATACCTTGTGCTTGGCTCTTCCCAAGGCTGAAATCCACCAGCATCCTCCTCTTATGGACCCTCACAGCTGGGTTCTCCCTTCTTGTCTCCCATTTTCCATGGATCCAGAGCTGGTTTGTGCCTATCTGAGCATTTTGCTCATTGGAGCTCATTCTTGCTTTCCCCATGGAGAGGCCGGATCCCGCTCCAAGATGCTGTGCTTGGTTTTCCTCAAGGGACAACGCTTCCCAATTGGGTTCCTTGTGTCAGCATCCTCATCCTGCCCACAGTGCATGGTCCGCAGATACAGCCCATCCCACCTCAACACAGCAGGAATTTGGGGTGGTTGATGCCTCCCGTGACATCTCCCCGGGTCACCCGAGGTTCTCCTTGGGGATGGATGCTCGGGATCAAGCACAGAAGAGCAGGGAGGGAGGGGGGAAATAGCTGAGCTGGGATAACGTGCTCAGGGCCATAAAGGCCCCCACTGTCCTCTGGACAATCCCTCGTGTGTTTGCACGGGGCAAAGCGGGATGAACGATGGGAACAGGGACGTGGGCTCTGCCTCCCTCCGCATCGCATCAGGCGACAACAGGGTTTTCCACAGCCCCAAGTGCACTCCTATTTAATAGGACCAGTGTGATGGACAGCATTTAGGTGCCTGCTCATCCCTCTTGCTTGCATCCAAATCCCTGTGAAATAACACTAATAGGGGAAATTCCCACTAAATGAGGGAAAACTCCCCATCCCAAACACAAAATCATAGCAAACATCACCACAACACTGAAATTCCATATAAATAATAGTGTAGGGAAAACCCAAAATCACCTTTTTTTCTTAACAAGTGATTAAATGCATTAAAACCATGCACAAATCCATCTCGGTGCCTGTTGTATTGAGCACGATGATGTCTCTGTGGCAGCACTGCCCTGCATCCAGCCTGCATGCACAGGGGCCTTTCTCACACCTCGGAGCCACAACTGGTTTAATTCAATGGTGGTTTTATGAAGTTTCATACCTTTTTCTATTCATTTTTACCCCCTGCCCTGCCCCAATGGCACCTGCAGGGTCCTCTCCACCTCTGTGAGACGGTCCCATCGAAGAAAACATCTTTATTCCTTCATTTTTGGGCCGAAAACACAAAGATTCAGGTCTCCCTGGAACACATGGGTTTAAAAACCCGTGGGGCACAAGCTCTGATTTTCACCTTCATTAACCAGGGAAATGATGTTCATTATTCAACTACTGATAGATCTGCCCCTCTCCCTGCATCTTTCCAACCCCCCCAAAGGTTTCAGCTGGGAATGGGCAGCTCGGATCAGTTTGGGATGCACTGAGCTGCCTGTTGAGATGGGCAGACAAGGAGAATAAACCTATCCCATCCCATAGGTGTCACTGGGACACGCAGCTGCTGGCTCCTGTTGCTTGGGATCTCTCTTGGATGTCCAAGTCCTGCAAGTCCTTGAGATGCAAATGGTGGCAAATGAAGGAGCACAAACCCTCCCGGATGCTTTCAGCACTAATTCCTCGCTGCATGCTGAAGTGTTGGACCTGCCGTGTGCCAAAGTCCTGGGGAAACAGGATAACCCAGGATCACACACTTTGCCAAGACCCCGGTGTGCTGCCAAAGCCCCGCAGGGGATTATCCAGAGGGAAAACAACCCAAACCTGACAGCATCTTTTCAATAGAACCCATGAAACGGGACCATGGATGCGTGCGTTTTCCATGGCTCAAAGGGATGAGGGTGCAGCGATGCCTGCGCATGGATGAGCCCAAGGATGCTCAGAGGATGCAAGAAAGGGAGAGGAAGTGATCTGATTTTTGGTCCACCCCTCTGACACCCCCTGGGGTCCCAACACAGGCAGGAATTGAAAGGTCTCATTAAAGAAGTGGGGATATTCACCGGGACACAGAGACCCCCCCACTTTGGGAATGTTCCCATAGTTTTCCCCACGTGGTGTTCCTTGGGGAGGTTCCATTCCCAGCCTATCGCTGTGTTATCCATGCAGCTCTCAGCCTTGGAAACACCTTAAATAGCCCAGCACCGGCTCGGGCAGGGGCTGCATTGCCCTGCTCCATCCATTGCCCTGCTCCATCCATTGCCCTGCTCCATCGTGGGTCAGGATCGGATCCCATCAGCACTGGGAAGCCCTCAAGACACAGCCCCAGTTGTTGGCAACAGGGAGCTCTCGCCATCGAGCCCACCCCAGCAAGGATGAGCCCGTGGTGAAGGCAACGCTCACCCCAAGCCCCTTCTTAGTGAGAGCTCTTTCTCTTCCTGTCTCTGTCTTTTCTTCCTTCTCTCTCTCATTCTTTCTTTCCTTCTTCCTTTCCCTGTTTGTTCTTTCCTTGTTTTTCCTTTCCTTTCCTATCCTACCCTTTCCTTCCCTTTCCCTCCCCTCCCCTTCCCTTCATTTCCATTCTCTTCCCTCCTTTGCCTTCCCTTCCCTTCCTTTCCCTTCCCTCCTTTGCCTTCCCTTCCCTCCTTTGCCTTCCATTTCCCTTCCCTCCTTTGCTTTCCCTTCCCTCCTTTGCCTTCCATTTCCCTTCCCTTCCCTCTTTTGCCTTCCCTTCCTTTCCCTTCCCTCTTTTGCCTTCCCTTCCCTTTCTTTCCCTTCATTTCCATTCCCTTCCCTTCCCTCCTTTGCCTTCCCTTCCCTTTCTTTCCATTCCCTTCCCTCTTTTGCCTTCTCTTCCTTTCTCTCCTTTGCCTCCCCTTCCCTCTTTTGCCTTCCCTTTCCTTCCCTTCATTTCCATTCCCTTCCCTCTTTTGCCTTCTCTTCCTTTCCCCCCTTTGCCTTCCCTTCCCTCCTTTGCCTTCCCTTCCCTCCTTTGCCTTCCCTTCCCTCCTTTGCCTTCCCTTCCCTCCTTTGCCTTCCCTTACCTTCCTTTCCCTCCTTTGCTTTCCCTTCCCTTTCCTTATCTTCCTTTCCATTCCCTTCCCTTTCCTCCTTTGCCTTCCCTCCCCTCCCCTTCCCTTCCCTTCCTTTCCATTCCCTTCCCTCCTTTCCTTTCCCTTCCCTTCTAAATAAAAAAGACAAGCAGGAAAAGGCAGGCGATATGCCCACCAAATCTCATGGCTGCAGGGATGGAGGCACCAAGGGAGCATCAGGATACGCATGCTCAGACCATAGGTTATGATCACAGTAGTTGCTGGACAAGGGCTTCCAGCAGCACTCGATTCCAAAAGGGCAAGTACCAATGGCTGGCAACTTTAGATGGTCTTTTCAGAAGAGGGGACATCTAGAGAGCAGCCCAATGTGGGTACACCTCCACTGCAAGGTTAATGTACCCTGCAGGCCTTGTCTACATGAAACCTGGTGGCCCAGCCTCATTAAGGGTATCAGAGCATCCTGGCAGCACTGAGGACCACGAGATGGGACCTAACTCATAGGGATCCAGAGGACACCCCGGCCTAGGTGGCCCTTTGCTCTTGGTGTACCAGGTACCTGGGAAGCGGCCAGAGCAGCGGTGATGGGCGTCCCTGTGCCCTCGCAGGTCACCCCATGAGCACAGCCCTGCAGATGACAGCGTTCGGTCTCGCTCTTCTCTCAACCCTCTTCCTGCTCCTGGCCACGTGCACTGACTGCTGGATGGTGAACGCCGATGACAGCCTGGAGGTGAGCAGGGCAACCGCTCTATGGAGCAAGGTGGGTGCCTTGACACCCATGGGTGACATCCCCACGTCTCCCCAGCCTCGGAAAGGGGACAAGGTGGGATAAACCCATTGTTTTCCATGGTGCTTTGTGACTTTCCCCTGCTTCCAGGTGAGCCACAGATGCCGGGGGCTCTGGAGGGAGTGTGTCACCAACATGCAGGATGGGGTCAGGACCTGTGACCAGTATGACTCCATCCTGGCTGACCATCCGGGTAAGTGCCATGGCCTGGAGGTGTTCCTTTAAGCTCAAAGCTAAGAGTTTCCCCTCTTACCTCTTCAAGATGATCCTCATTGCATCCTCCACCGGTCGGTGATGCAGGACCAGGGCTTCTCCTGCTCCATCAGCAGGGCTTCGCAGGGAGAAGTCCCCTTGCTCACAGCTATGGTGTCACCCAGGCCACCTCTCCTGCTTTTCACCCCTCTGTTCACATTTGCTGTTTTAAACACCAACCTGGAGATAAAACCAGTCTGGGCAGCAGCATCCCCTGCCCAAGCCTATGCAAGGCGGTCTCGAGACCACATCCCAGGGCAGATTGGTGCACCTTAAGGTGCTTGGGGTCTTCATAATGAGCTCACCAAGTCCTGCTGCAGGGTTGCTGGTGAGCTCCTTACCTATGGCAATGGGAGGCATGGGGTTGGGGAGTCCCAGTGTAGGTATCTCCTATGGGCATGGCCAATGCAGGGCTGGGTCTAGAAAGGACACGGGCAGCAACCTGGAGCGGGGACATCAGTTCCTGTGACCATCCCTCAGCCTCCTGTGTTTTAACCCTTCCTTGCCCAGTGAAGATCGTGGTGACACGGACCCTGCTGATCACAGCAGACCTCCTGGCTGGCCTGGCTTTGACCATGCTGCTCCTTGGGCTGGACTGCATCAAGTTCCTCAAGGAAGATCCCGGTGTCAAACTGAGGATGTGCTACGGGGCCGGTGGCATCCTCGGCGTTGGGAGTGCGTAGCTGGAGCGCTTGGGGGGGGGCAAACGGACCTCGTGTCCCATGGGCACCCCTTTAGAGGGGTCTCGGGGAGCACGGGGGGGTTGTGGGGTGCTCAAGCAGCCCCGTTCCTCTCAGGCATCCTGGGTCTGGTGGGCTCCGTGTGGTACGCGGTGGATGTGTACGTGGAGAGGGCCACGCTGGTGTCACACAACGTGTTCCTGGGGGTCCACTATGACTTCGGGTGGTCCTGCTGGCTGGGCATGGCTGGCTCCATGGGCTGCCTCGTGGCATCGGTGCTGCTGTCCTGCTGCCTCTGTGCCTGCACGGGTCAGTCTGTCCCATCCCAACCCATCCCACCCCACCCCACCCCATCCCATCCCGTCCCGTCCTATCCCATCCCATCCCATCCCATCCAGTGGCCTCCTGGCATGCCCATGGGTGAAGGACCAGCTCAGGGGTCCAGCCAAACCAAGCGGACCCCCTTTGATAGACCCTGGCTGGGTCATGCCAAGGACCCCAGCTGTGTCCCATAAGGGTACAGAGGAGGTGCAGAAATGCTCCTTCCATACTGATGGGACCTCGAGGTCCTGGTGAAGGTGCATTGGTGCCTACCCAAAGCAGTGGCTGCGCTGGAGCTGCATCACTGTGCCCAGTCAAAGCCTTGTGCTGGTGGCCACATGGATGTGCCAGTGGAAACCTGGCATCACCATGGGGCAGCTGATGGCTCACCAGATGGTACCTCCAGCCCTCACGCCTGTCATGTCCCCAACACTGCAGCACCGCAGGGTCCCTGCTATTGCCAACCATGCCACAACCCCACCTCTCTCCCAGTAGATCCCAGCAGCCACCAGCAACCCCAGAGGCCTCCCCAGCCCCGGGTCCGAACGGCCACCAGCAAGATGTACGCCATGGACTCCCGCGTGTGATGGGCAGCAGCACCTCCTGCAGCCAGCACCACTGTGGGATGCTCTCCCCCTCCAACCTGACCCCATTAAAGCACCATCTTCTGTACTGGGACACGTCTGCAACTGGGTTAAGGCTCCAACAGCAGGAGCTGCGTGAGCTGTAGCATCAGTGGCTGCGGGAGTCACCCACAGAGGAGGTTGTTTTCCATAGAGTCCCAGACTGGTTTGGGTTGGAAGGGACCTTAAAGCTCCTCCAGCTCCAACCCCTGCCACGGGCAGGGACCCCTTCCACTGGAGCAGCTTGCTCCAAGCCCCTGTGTCCAACCTGGCCTTGAGCACTGCCAGGGATGGGGCAGCCACAGCTTCTCTGGGCACCCTGTGCCAGCGCCTCAGCACCCTCACAGGGAAGAGCTTCTGCCTAAGAGCTCAGCTCAGTCTCCCCTCGGGCAGGTTCAAGCCATTCCCCTTGGCCTGTCCCTACAGGCCCTTGTCCCAAGCCCCTCTCCAGCTTCCCTGCAGCCCCTTTAGGCACTGGAGCTGCTCTAAGGTCTCCCCTTCAGGAGCCTTCTCTTCTCCAGGCTGCCCCAGCCCAGCTCTCTCAGCCTGGCTCCAGAGCAGAGCTGCTCCAGCCCTCGCAGCATCTCCATGGCCTCCTCTGGCCTCGCTCCAACAGCTCCACGTCCCTCTTGTGCTGCTGCCCCAGAGCTGGATCAGGGCTGCAGGGGGGGTCTCCCCAGAGCACAGCAGAGGGGCAGGATCCCCTCCCTGAGCTGCTGCTCACGCTCTGGGGGTGCACCCAGCACACGGGGGGGTTCTGGGCTCAAGCACTCACTGAAGCTGGGTCATGGGGAGCTTCTCATTGACCAACAGCCCCAGGTCCTTCCCAGTCTCACTATTTCCCCATTTCCAGCCAGGTTTCATGCAAACAAACCCTAGAAATATGCTGCTTTAAGGAAAGATGTCCCCAGGTACCCTGGGGATGCTGCTGGGACACGGAAGCCAATGGAGCTCTTGACATGGCTCCAAAACTCAGCCCATGCTTTGGAAGCATTCAGTGGAAAGCCAGCTCTGCACAGAGCAACACTGACTCCACGTGGCCCGGGACAGGGAGGCCCCAGCCCTGCTGCAAGCACCCCTGTTTGCTCAGAGGTTTGGGAGCTGGGAAGGCCAAGAGCCCAGGGCAGCTGGGGAAGGGGCTGGGCACTGGGGTAACACTGCAGGGGTCAATGTGAAGCCCATTGGAGCTGCTCTACCACCGAAGTTGGGGTTTATGTCCACATGGAAAGGGAATTCTGTTTTCTACATGAACTATAAACCCTTCCTCACCTGCAACACCAAGCCAGAGCCCCAAACCATCCCCCAATTGCTGGTTTTGTCCTTATTCCCCTACTTCTCACCTCCAGGTTAGCACAGAGAAGCAGCTCTGTGACTTCAAGAACAAGCCCCTGGCTGGAGCAGACCCTCCTGCAGGGCTGCAGCAGGGCCCTGCAATGAATGGGGGCAGAGGAGCCCCACAGCAGCACTGCCATGGCCTGGGCTTGCTGCACAGCATCAGCACCTCTGATCCAACAGCTCAGGGACATGGAGAAAGGGATGTGGCCACTAAAGCTGTGATGGAGATGAAGAGCATGACCAAGAGCTGGCTGGGAATGGCAGGGTCTGGTCCAAAGGACAGGCATGGTGCAGTCAGAAGGGGGCTGGGAGGTATTTGAAGAGTCATAGAATGGTTTGGTTGGAAGGGACCTTAAAGCTCACCCAGCTCCAACCCCTGCCATGGGCAGGGACCCCTTCCACTGGAGCAGCTTGCTCCAACCCGTGTCCGACCTGGCCTTGAGCACTGCCCAGAGGTGTTCTGCAGTGAGGCACAGCTCTGCTTTGTGCTCCATCACCCCCAGTGTGAGCAGGCACCAGGGCTGGGCTCACACCAAGCCTCTTCCCACCGGGCACCTCAACTACTTTGTAACGGTTTTTGTGTGCTCAAGAACTAAAGCAGTCCTTTCCCATCCCCAAGACCCTTTATGAACACTCAAACCCTGTCACACAAAAGAGGGGTTTTAAAAGGACCAATTGCACCAGGTAATTCTTTAAGACCTTTATTAACAGATGCTTGCAGTTTGACTTGAAAAAATCAGGTGTATATTTCATACAAATTAAAAATGAGGTTCTTAAAAATCTCAACTTGACCAGATATGAAACAATTTAAAAACCTTTAAAGGTATATTGAGAAAAAACAGACTTTTAAAAAACGTGTTTATCGTTTCCAAAAGGAGACTTCTTTAGGTAAAAATAATAAAAACCCCATGCTGCATAGACAATGCAGATAGTTCGAGTAATCTGGTCAACAGCAAAAAGCAAGCACTTAAGGTCTTCAGTTCCAATTCTTTTGTTCATTTCTTATTGCTGGAATTTCATTTTCTTTTCTTCTTCATTTCTTAAGTCTTTTCTTTGATGACTAAACTGAAAAAGAGGAAGAAAAGGGCGATCAGACCCGTGCCAGGGGTCACACGGATGCTCTGTCTACCAAGACTGACCTAGGAGCACAAATCCTCACTGAGCCACCTCTCACACACAAGAAACCCTCCCCAGCTGCACCCAGTCCAACCAGGGACCAAACCAGGCACCTTCCACACAAAACCAACCCCAAGGACTCCAGAAAGAGGAACCCCATCACACCCGTGTGCAGAGCTGCTCCCATTGGGTTCTGCACACACACAGCTCAGGCAGGAAGACAGGGAATATCTTGGGAAGGTGATGGATGAGCGGATCTACCCACACTTAACAGAGGCAGCTGTGGTAAGCCACTGCCCAGACCACAGGAACCACAACCAGCCAATACTATCAATAGACAGAGCAACCAAAAGGTCCCTGCGGCGTTTCACTGCGTGTTCACCATGAAGATAGACACCAGCATGAAACCAGGGCTCGTGTCCAGCACACAGAGACCACCACAGCAAGACCTGAACCCGTTACGTGAATCCATCAGCACCCCAGCCCCACAGGTTTGTGGCTGCTGGCACCAAACTCTGCCCAGCTCCTGCACTCCCCACTCATCCCACTAACAGGATGGGTCCCACCAGAACCCACATGTGCCCTTCTGTTTGCCAGCCCTTCAAGGCAACAAGTGATGAGTGAGACACAACAGAGTGGGATATGAACACTGGTGAGAGGAAATACATAAGAGAAAGAACAGGCAAGAAAGGTGCCAGAAAAAGCACAGAATAAGTAGAAAGAGTCCAAGCAATGAAGACATTCCCAAACCAGCAGACAGCTCAGACCATCAGAGCAAGAGTCGGACCATAACCCACCTAAGTCACAACTAAACCCACCCTTCACATTCATGCCATCCTCCCCAGTGGCAAAGCCACCGGTCCCACAGTGCTTCCAACAGGCGCCCCACAAGAAAGTGGCCAATCTCTGCCAGGTTTTCCAGCACTTCCTGCACCAACTTTCTACACATCAATGCTGACAGTCCTTAACCCTGAGTGGCGAGGGCTCTGACCCCCACAAGACCAAATAAACCCCTGTCCCCATCTTTTGGCTTTGCCACTCCACCAGCACCACCTCAGTGACTATTTCTGTGTGGACAACAGCAGCTCCAAGTCTCACCTACTGAGCACAGCCAAGAGTGACCTCCCCCAGCAATGCCCATTGAAGCTGCCCCCCCTGAGGCCTCCCACCTCATGGGGAGCTGTGCCCATCCTACAGCTATCGGGTCACACACGCACCCGGATGATGGTAGAGGTGGAAAGCCGGTGTTTACTCAGCCCCGCCCTGCTCGGCCTCGGGAGCGGACGTGTTCTCAGCTGGTGGTTCGGCTGCCTTCGTCTCTTTGCCATCTTGTGGTTTAGGGTTCTCCGGGCGTCTGCGTCGGTAGTTGAAGTTACGGCGGTACCGACGTTGAGGTGGCTGCTGACTTTGGGTCTCGTCCCCTTGGTTCTCTTTGTCTTCTTCGTTCCCATCCTCTCTAGGCTGTCTCTGACGAGGAGGACCCCTGAAAGTCAAGCTAGGCTTTAACAGTGCAGCATCTGACCATCGCCATGTTCTGTCTCTGGTGCTAAAAGGGAGGGTTAAAAGGGGAGAAGTTGATCTGCAGCATACCTGCGAAATCGTGGTCTATAACCTCGGTACATGTTCTGCCTGACTGGTCTGCCTTGGTCTCCTGCACCCTGGTTGTCAGCACCCTGGAAGACATTCAGCAACAAACCACCTTAGCTACCTGCAAAAGCGTGTTAAGGCTACAACTAGTCGAGGTGTGAGGAAGAGGTAGGTAGAGATGAGACCCTTAGTGACATGGGTTCGAGGTGTGAGGAAGAGGTATCACAGTATCACAGTATGTTAGAGATTGGAAGGGACCTCAAAAGATCATCTAGTCCAATCCCCTGCCGGAGCAGGAACACCTAGATAAGGTTACACAGGAACGTGTCCAGGTGGGTTTTGAATGTCTCCAAAGAAGGAGATTCCACAACCTCCCTGGGCAGCCTGTTCCAGTGTTCCGTCACCCTCACTGAGAAGTTTCTTCTCAGGTTTAAGTGGAACCTCTTGTGTTCCAGTTTTTACCCATTGCCCCTTGTCCTTTCATTGTTTGCCACTGAGAAGAGCCTGGCTCCATCCTCGTGACACTCCCCCTTTATATATTGATATACACTAATAAGGTCACCCCTCAATCTCCTCTTCTCCAAACTATAGAGACCCAGCTCCCTCAGTCTTTCCTCATAAGGGAGATGCTCCGCTCCCTTAATCATCTTAGTTGCCCTGCGCTGGTAGGTAGAGGTAGGTAGAGATGAGACCCTTAGTGACATGTGTTAGTGGTGGCAAACTGTTGGGCTTGATGATCTTAAAAGGTCTTTTCCAGCCCTTTTGATTTTACGGCTGTGAGGGGGCTGGCAAGTTAAGCCCAAGGTGCACAGCGATCCTAGGGCACAGCAGCACACATAGAATGAGTCACCGAATGGTTTGGGTTGGAAAGGACCTTAAGATCCTCTAGTTCCAAGCCCCAATATGATGCAGAAGTTGTTTTCCTCATGTTAATCATATAGTAAGTTAACCCAAATCCAAACTGCTTTTTAAGCTGTGACACTGAGACCTTCAGCTCATTGGCTGCTGCAATCCAAGACCTGCTGCAACCTCTTCATCTTGCTCCCAAACCTCACCCTGTACACCAAGAAAGGGCATCCCAGCACCCAGCATAGCCTCCCTCTCAAGCAGAGTTACCTCCACTATCTCTCCCTGCACGGGAGGGTTGGAATATTGTGGTCGACGCCCGTAGGGCCTACGCATGTAGTAAGGTGGGTACCGCCGCCTGCGATAGGGACGGCGTTGCTGGGCTTGACCTTCTGGTAT